TGTGATGCCATGGCACTCTACCCAGGGGGACAGCTTGAGGCTCTGTCTCAAAAAAAAAAAAAAAAAAAAAAAAAAAGGGAACTTATACAAGCAGGATATCTCACCGATTCTCGGAAGCCATCATACTTGTAGACGTGGCCATTCTTTGTGAGCAGTTTAAGTCCATGACCCAGAGCGACACGGCGCCAGATGCCTTCTGTTAACTCCCCAGCCTGGATGTTGTCCACTTTGCCTGTCTTGCTGTTCTTGAAGATGATGCTCTGGCGGCTCAACCTCAGCCGACCATCATTCTGTTGGCAAAGCAGGCCCAGATGCATGTGGCAGTACACAGTGTGTCCTGAGTATGATTCTAACCAACACCCATTCTGGTGCTAGTGGGTTGGCCAAGTTGTCAATGCAAGAGCAACAGGGGAAGGGTGAGGGCCAGTAAGAAGGGTCAAGTGGCCAGGAAGTCTAGATTCTAAACCTGGCCCTATCATCCAAAACACTCGCAGGTCCTCAGTTTCCTCATTTGTAAAATAGGAATTTGGGATTGAATGGCATGTCCCTATGACTCCTGAAACACTCAGCACTGCCCTGTGTTGAGAGAACACCAGGCACACATGATACTGAGTCTTCCTCTTCCAAAGTAATAACATTATCAAAAGAAGATCTCATAAATAGATAAAACTCTACCCTCCTTCCCTCTCTCCACCTGTATTAAATGCCCAAGGCATTCTCACCATGGAGCCTTTCACCTCCTGATAGACGTCGTTGAACTCCAGGGTCTCTGCCATGTTGCCCTACCCGTGGTGGCCTGGGCACAGAGCCCTAGGCTGCACAAGAGAAACCGAGTAAAGTGGGAGCTGCGCTCCAACTCCTGAGGGGTGTGCAGGTGCTCACCAGGCTGGAAATCTGAATTCAACAAGGAGACAGAAAAGTATGAAATACAACACTTCACCGTGCTCACGGGTAGAACCAGGTGGCTAGTCCTGGCTTCGCCTGGGATGTCTCAGGACTCCTCTGCCTGGAAACCCACAAGCAAGCTTTGCGGCGCTCATGGGGGCAGGCCCAGGCCTGGCTGGGGAACCGGGCCTGGAGCAGCGCTTACATCCTATCCCAACCCGACATCCGCTCTGGGCGCTCCACCGGGAGCCATGGCAACGAGCAGTGGAACCCCTAAGGCCTGTCTGGAGCCCGCACCTCGCCCGCGCCCCACCCAGCTCAGGGCGCAGGGTTTCCCCTCGCAGCGCTCCCACCACGCCGCGGCCCCAGACCCACGGTTCACCCCTCCCCCTAAAATGGATTAGCCCACTGCCCGCGAATTCGAACGCGGAACGGTCCATCTCGAGCGTCCCGCGGGGGAGCGGGGCCTTGCTGGTGCCGGGGAACGGCGACCACCTACCTTCTTAGGCTTCAGCCTCGCGACGGCCCGGGCGCGGGAGGTGGGCGCGTTGGGGTTGGGGGGGCACGGAGGGGGGTGGGTAGGCGGGGGATTGGGGGGGTACACTGGGGAAGGTTTTCCCGCGTGCGCGGCCCCGCGGCCTGCCACCGGAAGTCGCGCACGGACCATAGAGAGGGTGAGCTCGCTAGAGAGGAGCGAGCCCGGCCCGCCCTCGAGATGAACACGCAGAGCGTCAGCGACTCGGGAGGACCTGAGGAAAGTGTAGTTGCGGTGAGGTCCTACCCAGGTGGAATCTCCCTTTAAAAAATGGGACCATGTGAGGCTCTTTAGAAAGTTGCAGACACTTCCTCAGTGCAGGCCAGATTCTAAAGCGAAATTCTGTACCTTTGTTTTATCTTTTATTTCATCGGACTTTCTTCGGGGACAGGGTAGGGTATTGGAATGATGCGCGTCCCTCTCTCTTGCCAAATAGTTTCTGTGGCATGTAAAGGAGTCTGTGGAACAAGAATAAAGTTTAAAGAGTTATTGGAGAGAAATGCAGGCGTTGGTGTTATTGTAACCGTACTGTTGTCTAGCTGTACCGTCAAGTGGGATTAGATTCCTTTTAAAAATGATTTCACAGGCCACACCCAAAATCTTAATATCCATAACCTCAATTTATAGATCCTCCGCAGGAGGCTGGTAAATGTCAGTATCAAGTTCAAGTACTGGTATCAGATTCACCGTGGACCCAGAACTGATTGGAAACCACGTTGTCCTGAGGTTGCCTAAGCCCCGCCTCCCTCATATAGTCCCAGGATGCATCTTGCAAAATTAGAGAAGGCCAGACCTGGAGGAGATGTTTGAGTTGTTCTAGGCCAGCCTCCTTTGACAGGTGGGAAAACTGAGGCCCCTAGAGGAGTTGCCAAGGTCTCAGTGAACTGGCAACAAAGCTGGAGGCTAGAACCTAGATTTCCTTAACACCAGTAGTCACAGTGATTCAGTGTTCAGAATGACTGATGATATATGTTCTGTACAAAGGCATTAGGACAGAATATTTAAACTCAAGATTTCTCTGACTATTGCACCAGACTGCTAACTCAATCCTGGGATTAGTGATAACAGGAATGCACCCTGGCCTCCCCTGAACTCAATAGCTTTAATCTCTAGGTAAGGCTATTTCAGTATTATCTGGCAACATAAATTCAATTGGATTTTAAAAATATGTATCAAGGACCTGTTATTAATCCAGTGCACTTCTAGGATTTGAGAAAACTAGTGAACAAGATGAAAACAGACCCAGCCTAAGCTGACAGTAAAAAAATGTGGTAACTGCTATGCTATACGTAGACACCTTCAGCCATTGCCAACTGGAGGTAGAAATATGCAACTCTACTCATCCCTTCCCAGGAGAACCAATGTTCAAAGGCCCCCATCTCCCCCTAACTCATGCCATTGGAGGCAACTCAGGAAGGAAGGGGATGGCTGCAGAAATAGGTGGGATCTAACACACAGGACTGAAGGGGTCCTCAGCTCAGACAGGCTATTAAGTGAACAGGGGATGGGACATTGCAAGGGGCTTTAGGGAGAGCATGAGCAGCTGGTGAGCTAGGGTGAGGATGCAGCAGAAGAGAACGGAACAGAAACAGTAGACAGAGTGCAGATAAAACAAGTCCCAGAGGGCCCAGCCAGCTACATCCCAGGCAATCAGGAGCCCAGAATCGGAGACCCCACCCCTGCTGTGACATCACAGGGGAGTGGAGTGGAGATGAACATAAGGGGGGTCCCCCGCCCTGGCTTCTTGGCAGCCAGAGTGACAAGAGCAGAGAGTCTAGACACTGACTGGGGTTGCCTAGCTAAAAGGAACAGGCTCCCCATTCCTTGAGCCCCTCTAAACTGCCCCTTTGAAGTTGTGATCTCTGTCTCCGTGTCCTGAGGACCTCACTGTCCTGAGGCTGCCATCAGGCCCTTCTGAGTGGCCCCTGCACACTCTGTCGGCATGAACTGCATAGCAGATTTCTTTACCTATGAGACCACCAAGTCGGTGGTTGTGAAGAGCTGGACCATCGGAATCATCAACCGAGTCGTTCAGCTTCTGATCATCTCCTACTTTGTGGGGTGAGTCTGAGTCTGTGGCCCTTCAGGTGCTTGGAGGGGAGGGCTACCTGGCACCCTGTTCTCCCCCTCCTGCCTCAATTGCCACCATCCAGCTGCCTGAGTTCCTCCTCTCTTGGGGAAAATGGTTTCTTCTGTTGAGCTGTGTCTTAAGGACTGACCCCAGCCAGGATGCGGTTTGAAGATGAATTCTTTGTCCCAGTAAATCCCCTAGAGTTGGAGACACTTCTCTGAGGAGTAAGAGCTCTGCCCCTGCACTGCCCTTCACCAGGGAGGTCCCATGTGTTCCATTTCCACGCTCCCTTTTCTCATCCCTCCGACCAGAGGACAGGAACCCCCCTCCACCACCATCTTCCCATTCCCCCTCATTCCACTCTTGGGGTCTCAGAAAGACAGGGAAGACGGAAAGAGAGAAGGGAGATGGTGGCAGGTTGATCCAGCTGGCAACAGGGAGGGAAGGAGCAAGACGGATTCATTTTAGAATAAGGAATTCCCTCCTGACATGGATGGGCAAGATGGAGAGAGCTTGGAAAGGAAAGAAGCCTTTGCTCTTGGAGGGCAGGACAAAGCGGGAACTGCCCTTGAGGTGGGGAGAAACACAGGCATGGATAACACTCAGGGAAGAGTTGCTGAGGAGCAAAGTAGCTTTTCTGAATGGGTACAGATTACTCAAGAATCCAGAAATGCTCCCCTTTGTAGAAGGCATAAGTTCCTTAGCTCTAATTGACTTTTTGCCGGGTAACCCATCCTGGCTGGCTTAAGAGCCAGGAAGCTCCAACCATCTGCTCTGGCCGCCACATCTCAGGGACACACACACAGGCCACAGATTAGACAAAGGCTGGAAGAAGAAATGCAGGTTCTGTCCCATGGACCTGCCATGCAGTGGTGGGCACCGGGAAACACGGGCAGAAAGGGAAAGTTTTCTAGCCTGATGTGTGGGTCTCTAGTCTCGTGCAGTTCCTGAGACAATGGGTCTGTGTGTGAGAGACAGCAAGCCACAGATTGTCATGATCAGGCAGGTCAAAGGGGACATCCTGTGGGCATATGGGCTGGAGCTTCTTGGGAGTGGGCCTGCCTGCTTGGAAGGTTGGAGTCGTGTGTGAGGCCATGCGTGGAAAGATGGCTTGATGCGACTTTGTGAGCGATATGCTTTGCTCTACATGCCTGGCAAGAGCCAGAGGGCTTCGGTTCATGGGTATTGTATCAAAACTGCACAGCTACTACTCATTCGGGGCTATTAGAAAAGGGATTCAAGTTTTGGGGTAGGATTCAATGGCCTTGAAGTTCCAACATTGATGCTTCGTGAGACATGAGGTCTTCTAACGTTTCATGCCCACATCTCCAGGGCTTGCTAGGCTCCATGTTGGTTTATAAATGTGCTGTGTTCAAGCATGTGTGCCGTGCTGTGACTGTTTATAGCCACACAATGGTAGGTGTGCTGAGTGCAAAACCTGTCTCACAATATTCCCAGCCTGGCCTGGTTCCCTGGGCTCCAAGAAGGGGCTAGAGGCAGCTGGCTCCTGGTCCAGCCCACTCAGCCCTTGTCTCTCCTCCCCATCATGATCAGATCAAATCCTCCAGTCCTCAGGGCTGGAGTCTAGCTCGCTAGAGCCAGCATGTGGGGCTCTGTGGCACCATGATATCCAGCCTCATCCATCTCCCAGCCTGACAGCTCCCCACGGACAGCAGACAGTGCCTTCCAGCTACATTAGAACCCTGCAGCCCAGCCCCCAGCCTAGGCCCCTTCCCTGTGCATGGGACCCCATGCATCACTGCGACTTCATGAATCCCCTGCCATAACTTAGCAAAAATGTGCCAACAGTCTCTATGCACCGAGGACAGAATGATGGGAAAAGGCAGGCTGGGTCGTTGCCCTGGTGGGGCTTGCAGTATAAGGCAAGAGAGGGACATGGATCCAGTCACATCCACCAACAGATACAAACGTTCAGCTGGCTCAGAGGTGCCCAGTTACAGCAGAGAAGCTTCTATGGAGGTGTTTGACCAGCTGAGGAAACGAAGAGAAGGTTTTCTGAAGATATGACACGTTAGCCAAGATCTGAAGAACAAATAAGAGCAACTCAGGTAAAAGAAGGAAAGGAAGACGGTCCAAGGCAGAAAAGCCCCCTCTGCCCGGCAAACAGAGGAAGGAAAAGAAGGTCACCGTGGCTGGAGCCGGGGGAGCAGAGGCGAGCAGTGTAAGGCAGATGGGGACACAGACCCAGGTCGGAGCTCAGATGCCTGCAGAGAATTTTCGTTTTTTACAGGAAAGGAATGAGCAGGAAGTTCCAAAAGCATTTGAGCCCATGTATGTGCGAGCCTGTGTGTGTGTGTGTGTGTGAGTGAGACAGACAGACAGACACAATGAGGTCTGAATCGGGGAAGACAGACCACACTGATGGGCCAGAGGATGGAGGGAGTAGGACAAAGCTGGAAAGCCTGAAGATGCCACCCGGTCCTGTGAAGAGAGATGACAGCTTGGACTCAACTGGAATTTGCAAGGATTTTAGCGCTGTGGGGTTAACGTTTAATACTAGAATCTCTTCCCTGTTAACCCCCCCAGGTAGGTGAGATGCACAGCCGCTGACCGAGTATGCATGACCGAGCCAGCCCTCCATCTTAGGCACTGGCAGCCCACTCGGCCTGACGCCTGGCACACACTCTCACCCTACCCCCCTCACCTCAGCTGCCCGTGCGGGGTTGGCGCCCCTCATCACTGCTTTCCTCTACCCACCCCAGGCGCACAGACAGGCCCGGACTTGCCTGACCTGACATTGATCACACCTTTTGTGAGCCCAGTGGTAAAACCCAGTGTCCTCTCTGGGATGGGATTTCCTAAAAGCCAGTCCCCTTTCTGGCTCCTGGGGACCTGTGTCCCTGGAAATGCTGGCTGGCACTTGGGCCTGAGGTTGACTTCCAGAGCCTTCCTGAAGGTTCCTCAGAAGGACTGATGATGGTGGAGGGAGCCTCTGACTTAATCACCGTCCCACTCTCCCTGCCCTGATCCTCCCCTAGGAGGCCCAATCTGCACACTCACTGTCTGCTCAGCCACCTCCTTTGGTTCATAATATTCAGCCTCATTTCGGGTCCTGGGTAGATGCTCAGTACAGAAAGCAGTTAAAAGAGAGGAGCTGATCTGGTTTAAAGAGAAGGGCCTGGAATTCCACCTTCGAGGTCCTCCAGCCATCTTCTGTGGTAACACTAGGTAACAAATATGGCAGAGACCTGTTGGCATGCCCCTTCTCACTGGTCCAGAGAGAAGAATGCTCCCCCTCTCCTGCCCGCCTCGCCCCTGTCGGCAGCCCCATGGAATGTAAAAGCCTGGTCTGACACCAGCCAGGAACAGAGCCTCGGCTCTGTCACTTTGACTCCAAGCCCCAGTCCCTGAAAATGGGTTTAGGGATACCTCCTCCCGGAGAGTCATGGGGAGGGGAGGTAACATATGTCAAGCTCCTCGCCTGAAAGGGTGATTCAGTAAGAGCCAGCAATTATTACTATTTCATAGCCTTCCCATCATGCCTCCCTCCCCCTTTCCCTCTGCCCAGCTCACACTTTCCTAGGAGACCCCCCTTTCCTGCACACACTCTTTACACCCACTCCCTGGCCTTCTCCTTGACTCCTGGGGGTGGACGGGAGGGTGGTGGGGCGCTGCTCTGGCCTCCTTCCTGCACATGCCACCTGCCAAGGAGTTGCCACACGCCTTCCGCTCTATAAATAATAAACCAGGAATGCGAGAAGAAAATAAGTCAGAGCAGCCGAGTAAATGCCAAGAACTGAAGGCTCAGTCCTGCCCCATCTCCTAATCCCTGGCCTCCAGGGACAGACCGGACCCCTCTGTTCTGGAAATGAAGCATCCCCTTCTTTCAAGCTGCCCAGACTAAGTCCTCAGGGCCCATGGGGCCACTGCAATTCTTCCATTTGTTATTTAACTCAGAGGATTCTAATGTGGTCTTTCCTCCCCACTGGGCATGAGAAGGAGCCTTGAAGGAGGGGGAGGAGGAGGAAAAAGATTGGTTAATTGTTCCTTAGAGTCCTCAGGCCCCTTCCTCCTGAGACTTTCCTGAGCTAGGAGATGGTCTCCCTGGTGATGAGCTGAGCCAGCAAGACAAGCTACCAGGGTCCTGTCCAGACGGCCAGCGGTAGCCTAGCCCTGAGCTGGGACACAGGTGGAGTGAGGTGGTTGTGAGTGGTCTGCAGCAGGCTTCCTGGTTTAAAACACATATACCAGCTGTGTGACCTTGGGCAAGTCAGCACACCCCTCTGTGCCTCATGTTTTTTCATTTTGACGTGAAGGTAATAAAGCTGTCTCATCAGTAAGGATTCAGCTTAGGGCACGCTGTGTTAGTTATTTGATAATAGAAATCAGAACTCTGCTTCTCATTTGCAAATCTTTCTGGACTTTAAGGACAGACAAAGTGGCCTCAGAAAATCATTTCCTTAGATCAATATTGAGAAATGTGTCCATTCTGTGGCCAGGCACACTGAGGTTCCAGAAGGGTGTGTTTGGACCTCAGCTTGCTCTCTGGTGAGTATACAGCTGTGGCCACTCCCATCTTAGTTGGGGCAGAGAACCTGGGTCCAAGACCTCTCTCTTTTTACTCTGCAGGGCCCTGGACCTTGAGCTAATGACGCTTATTTGGAGAACTTCACTGTTCTCTGTAACAGGGATGATCTCTTCTCTTCTGCTAGGACATAACACAGCAGATGAGATTTCTATGTAAAGTGTACTTCCTTGTGAGATCTTAATAAAACCTATCCCCTTCTTAAAAAAAAAAAACAACAAGAAAAGAAAAGAAAAGTGCTTGGGATAGCAAACAACATCACAGACCTCCATAGAGGCGTGGTGTTCATAAAAGCATTTTACAGGCATTCAAATAAACTCTTAATGGTGCACTAATCAGGATGCTGCCCGCTACGGACCAATAAAACAGGTAACAGGTTTGGAGCCATTTGCCACTGCTGTGACTCCACCCATTTTCTCCCACAAGAAAATATTCATCAGAGAGCTGTGCATTGCTGCTGGAGAGTCTGTACATTTAGACCAGATTCATATTTACACTGTCAGTATGACAGATGAGCGAAAAAAATCTTAATGCACTATTGGATTTTTTACTTCTTCTTTTAAATTTTTATTTATTTATTTGAGACAGACTCTTACTCTGCTGCCCTGCATAGAGTGCCGTGACAACATCATAGCTCATAATCAACCTCAAACTCTTATGCTCAAGTGATTGTCTTGTCTCAACCTCCCAAGTAGCTGGGACTGCAGGTGCCCGCCACAACACCTGGATAGTTTGGGGGAGCTTTTTCTATTTTTAGTAAAGGTGGGGGTCTCGCTCTTGCTCAGGCTGGTCTTGAACTCCTGAGCTCAAGCAATCCACTGCCTTGGCCTCCCAGAGTGCTGGGATTACAGGCGTGAGCCACCTCACCTGACCTACTTCTTTTCTAAAAAAATTCACCTTATACCAGGGCTGAACAACTCAATTTATACTCATTTTTAAATGTCTACATTCTTTCTAATAAACTATTGGAAGACTCTTAAGAAAAAAAAGAAAGTGTTCATCATTCAAGCAAGTGGCACTACAAAAAAATGATAAGCCAGGCACAATAACTCATACCTGATAACCCAGCGCTTTGAGAGGCACAGGCAGGAGGATTACTTGAGGCCAGGAGTTTGAAACCAGCCTGGGCAACATAGTGAGACCCTGTCTCTACAAAAAATGTTTTTTAAAAATTGATAAATACGTGAGGTGACAGGTACATGACCTAGCTGGATACAATCATTCCACAATGTGTACATGCATCCAAACAGTGTACTCCATAAGTATATAGAATTATTACTTGTCAAGAACAAATATTATTTAATTATCAAAATAAAAGTTTCAATTTAAGTATAAGTTAAAAGAAGATCTCAAGTGAGCAACGGAAGCCCCATTAGGGACCTAACTTCAAACCCTCCAACTAGAAACTGAACCAGAAGCCAGCTGCAAACATTAGCCTGTGTTTTCAGTAAATGTGACTGGGGCATCCAACCTACAAGTGACTGTGACCCTTAGCCTGTCCTAGGAGCTGCTCCTTTTGGCATCTTCCAACAGTGGGAGACCCTTAGAGGTCATCCAACCCACCCACCACCCAAGGAAGGAGCCCCCTCTCAGCACGCCCAGAAGGTGAACTAGACTGCCCGAATCTTCCCAGGCACACAGGGCTCAGCATTTCCCACAGCCACTGGCTTGGTTCTGGGCGTGAAGCCATCCCCTGCCTCCTTCTGAACTCTCAGGCCAGTCCAAGTGCTCCCGAGCAGCTTCTCAGGGCCACACAGTCATCTTCTCTGGGCCACACAGTCATCTTCTCTGGGCCACACCCTCATCTTCTCTGGGCCACACAGTCACAGGTCTCTTCCACTCATCTTTACCTGATGTGCTTTTCCAACTTTGCACCATCCTATTTAGAGGCAGAAAATGACCCAAGCCAGCATTTCCAAGAGCTCTCATGCCTGTAATCCTAGCACTCTGGGAGGCTAAGATGGGTGAATTGCTTGAGCTCAGGAGTTTGAGAACAGCCTGAACAAGAGTGAGGCCCCCATCTCTACCAAAAATAATAGAAAAATTAACCAAGCATGGTGGCAGGTGCCTGTAGTCCCAGCTACTTGGGAGGCTGAGGCAGGAAGATCATTTAAGCCCAGGGGTTTGAGGTTGCTGTGAGCTGTGATGGTGCCATGACATTCTACCCAGAGTGAGAGTGAAACACTATCTAAAAGAAAAAATAAAATAAAAAATCATGAGATACCATTGGCATTTCTCCAAAACCTGACCGGGCTGCCAAGGTCAAATAAGACCAGGAGACAATGAGTTTAACAACATTTAGCAGATGTATATGTTTGTTGACATGGTATGATTCTCTCTGAAAGGGCTGGGGCCGAGGTGATCTCGCAGCAATTTCCAAATGCCTTCAGTAAGGTTTTCTCACCTGGAGAATGGGGACAGTGAGAGCATCTACCTCCCAGTGTGCCTTCAGGAATAAATGGAAACTTATGGAAGGCTGTTAACCCCAGTATTAAGTGAAGCTGAGCCTTAAGGGCTTGATGGATATCAAATGGAAAGGCAGGTGACAAAGAAAGCTTTGTCAGCGAGTGTCTGCAGGTCTTTCTCGCCCTGGGGAGAGTCTGAGGAGACAGGTGGGGATGGAAAGGATGGAGACCTTGCCCGGTCCGCGTGGTCCCATAATGGCTTGAAGCTACGGGGAGACAGCAGTACAGGTAAATGACCACTGGATGGCAGCACAATCCAAGGAATAAGATATAGGCCTGTCTCCACCCCCACACTCCCACCCAATTTCATTTACCTGCCAGGTAAAGGCTCAGCCACTGCCCCCCCTTTCATCCTGGAGACTCTACCAAGCACCCAGCTCCCAAGGGCTTTCACTGATGTGTTTACTAAACATCTGCTGTGTGTTAGGCTTAGGCTGTTAGGATACACCTGAGCAAAACTAAGCTGCCCAGGACTAGAGGCCTAGGATTCCCAGCCCTCTCTCCAGGATATCTGCCAGAAAGGTGACCTCTGTCTGGCAAGGAATGACTTTATCCCATGCATCCTCAACAGGGCCATATGGCCCTCAAGAGGGTGAAAATTCATTCTCACTCTTCTTACATGCAAAGCACAGTTCACATACGTTACATAAACAGTTACCTGAGGTATCAGATTCATGGAGGGTAGCACAACTAGGGGAAAAGTCTAAAAAGACACTGGGGAGGGTTATAGGGGGAACTGTGGAGAAACACTACTCTAAGCCAACCAAAGGCTCAATCTAGGTCCCACGCCTCTGGCAAGGGCATCTCCCTCTGCTAGGCACACCCTGCCGGCACGTCCTAACACAGGCAGAAAGGAGACCTCTCCCAGCCTCTGCCTGCTGTGCCTACAGACTCTTCTCTCTTTCTCTGTGTCTCTGCTTTCCTGCCCCAGGTGGGTTTTTTTGCACGAGAAGGCGTACCAAGTGCGGGATTCGGCCATTGAGTCCTCAGTGGTGACCAAGGTGAAGGGCTTTGGACTCTATGCCAACAGAGTCATGGATGTGTCTGATTATGTGACCCCACCCCAGGTATGGTCCCTGCCCCAGGGAGGCGTGTGGGTGCCCACGAGTCACTTGAGCTCAGGAGTTTGAGAACAGCCTAAGCAAGAGTGAGACCTCATCTCTACTAAAGATTGGGGCAGGTTGGAGGGAAGGCAGCAGGGCATGGAGGGTGCAGATGGGTTCCAGAACCAGAATCCATGGGATCAGTGATTCAGGGAACCTCTCCCAGCAGCTAGGCCTCTGTTACTGGGCATCAGGAAAGCCGGGTTCCTTTTCAGGTTCTGTCACAGTTTTCACTGCCATCAAGGACAGCACACAAAGAGGGCAAGAGGGGCCTTGAGGGTGGTTAGGAAGAGCCTGGTGTGGATCCCAGCTCTGCCCGTTTAGTGGCCCAATGGCCTTGGCCAAATCACTAAACCCAAGCCTCTGTTTCCTCATCTGTACAGTGGAGATAATAAATAGTTCCTGCCTCATGGATTGGGACTGGATTGGGACTGTTGCATTTTTTTCTTCTCTCCCTTCTTCTCCTTCCAAGGGCACATCTGTCTTTGTCATCATCACCAAGATGATTGTCACTGAAAACCAGATGCAAGGATTCTGCCCAGAGGTGAGGGGAGGGAAGAACGTGGGCAAAGCAGGTGAAGGAAGAGAACACTGGTGGGCACCAAGGCAGAGAGGGGCCTTGGAGCTGTTCCAGGGACCTGCACTCTCCAGAGGCTGCCTGTTATGGAGGCACTGGGAGCTGAGGGCTCTCCATGCAGGGTCCTTTACCAACCTGCGGACCTCTCTGCCCACAGAATGAGGAGAAGTACCGCTGTGTGTCAGATAGCCAGTGCGGGCCAGAGCGCTTCCCAGGTGGCGGTGAGTGCAGCCCCTTCCCCACCCCCACAACCTCCAAGGGTTAGCCTAGGGCCAGAAACCTCCCCACCCCCATGAGGACCAGCCACCCTAAGAGAGCAAGTGGGAATCAGCCTGTTCCAGGTAACTCTGCATTTATGGACACTCACTGAGTACCACACCCAGCAGGGGATATGAAGGTGGCATTGTCCCTGCTCCCAGGGGAGTACTCAGTCTAGGGATAATTTGGTAACAGATGGGTTACCATGAAGTAGCATGTGCTGTCCAGAAGGTATAAAGGATTGTGGGGGAGGGAGAAAGATTGGTTCTGGGTGGGTGGCACCAAAAGGCTTCCTTGAGATGACGTCTGGGAAAGGCCCTGAAGATGAGTAGGATTTGGCAGGATAGAGGGGGCTTCAAAAGGGGTATTCCAGGCATAAGGAACAGCTGTAGCACAGACTCAGAAGCAAGGGAGGAAGATCAAGGGTCCCAGGGTCCTTGGGGTGGCTGGGCCTAGGAGCATAATGGGGGGTGTGTGCAGGGGCTTGGAAGAAGAGGGGGAGAGGTCAGCTCTCCTTTCCCTGCCTGTCCTTTTCATCATCTGCCAGGATCCCTGGGAGGGGGAGTTTCCTGCGCAGACAGTCATTCATGAGGGCCCAGGAGGGGGAAGGAGCAGCAAAGGGTAGGCAGCCCCCCTGAAGCTGTGGCTCCCCCTTTCAGGGATCCTGACTGGCCGCTGTGTGAACTATAGCTCTGTGCTCCAGACCTGCGAGATCCAGGGCTGGTGCCCCACCGAGGTGGACACGGTGGAAATGTGAGGCCCTGGGCCAGAGGGGAGAAAAGAGGACCTACCCCGCTGCCCTCCGCCAGTGTGGGAACCCCCCTGTATCTCTAAGCTTGAGGAAGGCTTGTGGCTCCCAGTCCTGTCCCTTGCTCGGGTGGAAAAATGACCTCAGCACATCACCTTCTGCAGCCAGTCTCACCTGTCCCGCCCTCCCTCCAACCCTCAGGGCCAGAGAGGCCCTTCCCTTGCCAGCCCTTAGAGGGCCCTTTATCTGTGGGAAGTCTTCCTTTTCTTCCACAGGCCCATCATGATGGAAGCTGAGAACTTCACCATTTTCATCAAGAACAGCATCCGTTTCCCCCTCTTCAACTTTGAGAAGTGAGTCCTCCCTTCCTCCCTAAGGCAGAGATGCAGTTACCCCACCCCCACCTGCCACCTCCTTTCAGGACAGCGAGGATGCCCCCATTCATAGGTTCTCCTCACTTTCTCTCCATCCACCCACTAACCCAGAGCTCCTATTCTCAATTTCCCAGTGGGCCTTGAGACTACGGAGTAGCAGGTGGACTCTGGGGCCAGGTTCTCTGCGAACCTCCCTGCCTGGGGCTCAGTACCCAAGGTGGGAGTATTACTTGGGGCAGAGGAGGGTCCTGGGTCACAGATGCCTTCAAAGGTCGAGCCCAAGTGGCTCATCTCATTTTATTCCTTACATCAAGCCCACGTGTGGATAACCCTTTCTTAGTTCAGCCCAACCCCCACCCCTCTGCATCAACTCATTGGTTCCACAGCTGCTCAGTGGCCATCAGCCTTGTACCAAGCAATGCCAAGCCCTGTAGAAGTGCGTGGAGTAGTCAGCAGTGACCTCTGCCCTCCCAGAACCCCAGCCTGGCAGTGGAGGGAGATCAGTCACCACCCACATTCTTAACCCTAATCCCAGCCAAGAGTGATGATGGGATTGCAAGAAAGATGCAGGGGAAAGACCGGACTTTCTTCGCGTTAACCCTAGTCTTTCCTCTCTCCTGTCCTCCCCAGGGGCAACCTCCTGCCCAACCTGACCGCCAGGGACATGAAGACGTGCCGCTTCCACCCCGACAAAGCCCCCTTCTGCCCCATCTTGCGGGTGGGGGACGTGGTCAAGTTTGCCGGGCAGGATTTTGCCAAACTGGCCCGCACGGTGAGGACCTAGCGCAACCTCTAGCTGGGAATCTCAGTCCTCCCGCAGACCCGGGACACTCCTTCCCCAGACTCGGGGTCCTCGGGCAGGCGCTGGGGATCTGGCCAGGAACTGTCGAGACAGCGCCACCTGGTGGAAGCGCGTGGGGCTGCAGCTGGCTCCGCGCCTGCATCCTTGGCGTCCACTCCTGCCCTGAGGGGTCTTGCCTCTCCTTTCCCACATCCCCCAAGCCACCATTTCCATTCACACTTCAACTTCGCTCTAAGACAGAGGCCTTAGAGCTCTAGAAAGGGCCACATAATGGGAAAGTGTAGCTTGGGACTGGAGATTCTGAAGTAAGATTCAGAGGCTCAAGGCTACAGCACGCTTTTACGGAGCTGCGAGTAACAAGGCACTTTTCAGTCCCCCTGTCTCTCTCCACCTAGGAAATGGAAGGGAATCATTTGCCATAAATATCCCACCCCGACCCTGGCCAAGTAAAAGGCTCAGAGGGCTGGGGAGAGCTCATGTCTGGCCCCTTTCTTCAGGGCGGAGTTCTGGGCATTAAGATCGGATGGGTGTGCGATTTGGACAAGGACTGGGACCATTGCATCCCCAGGTATTCCTTCACGCGGCTGGACAGCGTTTCTGAGAAGAGCAGCATCTCCCCGGGCTACAACTTCAGGTAATCCCCTGGCCTCCTGGAACCAGAGGAGGAGTGGGCAAGGGCCGTCCTCAAGAACTGCATCTCCAGCAGTAATGTGTACTGGGAAGAGAAGGTCTCACATCCCCGTGGCTCAACCCCATCATCAGGTTTTGACTCAGAATCAGGAAAGACTTTCTAAGAATCAGCCACTTGGTGAGGGGTCCTGGGAGACAATGGCCCCTATCCCTGGAGGGTTCATGTCAAGGGTTCCTGCTCCAGGTCGTAATTAGACCAGATAGCCAAGGTCTCTTGAAGTGTTGGGGTTCTGTGAGTCTTTGCCTATTCTTAGCTCTGGCCTGGAAATTATAACAAGGAACTCCCAGAGAGTCCCATTCCCTTTGTCCAGTGCCTTAGTTTTCTAGGTTTCCCATTACACACACACAAGGAGATAATTTACCATTTAAAAGAAGGCAATTTTATATTACTGCCTATAATCAGGAAATTTCATGAATCACAGATAACAATTATAACTATCATTAGTTCTTCTTCAATGCCTTTCCAAAGAAGAACTCAAACCAGTCTTTAAATATCCCAGTGGCTTTGAGACTTAAGGGATCTTTTGGGGTCTTGTCCATTTTGAAGACAGGGAAAGAATAAACTATTTGGAAGCAGCGAAAAGCCTTTGAGCATGCCCTTGGCCTTGTCCCATCCTAATTCCCCCGTCTGTGAAATGGGGATAATATGGTTGTGATCTGGAGGATCCTGCTAGCCAATTCATAAAAAGCCTCAGCTCTCTGGTTTGTGTTTCTCTTAATTTTTTTCTTTGTCATTCATGTATTGATTCACTCATTGAACATAGGCTTGCCTACTATTGGTAGGAACCATACTTGGTTGTACTGGGTCAGCAGTTCTCAAAGTATAGACCGCAAGGTCAACAGTACCTTTTTTTAAGTTGTGTTTGTATATCTTTATAGGGTGCAATGCGACATTTCAGTACATTTATACATTGTGGATTTTTCTTGATATTTGACAATCCCGAAGTTTCTTGCAGGTCCCTGATTAAATACATAGTGTCACAACAGGCTAAATAGATTAAATGGGCAGTGATCAGGAAAAAGATATGTGTAAACATATACACACATTTTCAATTATGTATACAAAGAATTGTTACTCAAATTTTATTTGTTGTAGTGATGTTCTCAAATATACTGGCATCCATAGCCAAACAAAAATTTTTTCACCCTTTTTTTTGAGACAGAGTCTGACTATGTTGCCCTCAGTAGAGTGCTGTGATGTCACAGCTGACAGCAACCTCAAACTCTTGGGCTTACATGATTCTCTTGCCTCAGCCTCCCAAGTAGCTGGGACTACAGGCACCCGCCACAATGCCCAGCTATTTTTTGGTCGTAGTTGTCACTGTTGTTTGGCAGGCCCGGGCTGGATTCGAACCCGGCAGCTCCCGTATATGTGGATGACACCCTAGCCGCTGAGCTACAGGCACTGAGCCTTTTTCACCCCAATTTGTAACTTTAAAAAAATCACTCACCCCATTAAGTTTTATATTTAATAGTTTTTAAAAATATATAGATGGATATTCTCTAGAAAGAAGAATTTTTAAAAATTGAGAATGCTTTCATGATCAACTCCAAACTTTAAAAAAAAAAAATCATAGGAAACAACACATATTTTAAAGTAGGTTAAAAATACTGTTTGGCTCACTGGTAGAAATTGGCATATTTATTCAGTCAGCGCATCACACTGAGATCAATACAAAGCATATTTGTATGGTGGCTTAAAATAGTAACATATTAATAAACTTCTCATGATCTAAAATGCAAGTTTTCATCTTCATAACTTCCCTCTGGCCACTGGGAATTCTTCAATCCTCCAAAGAACTCATTTGGCAGGAACACTGTGAAAAATGTAACTATTATGAAGCCCCCAAGAACTGGTGCCATACAGTTTTAGAACAGCCTCTGTAAGAATTGGTTTGGAGTTCAGTCTCCATCGTACTGTACCGGGGCTACTCCCCTCCCTCTCTGCCTGGCACAGCAGAGTCCTAAATCAGTCCGGGCTGGACTGGGGGAGATAGGACACAGGGTTTCTGAGGACCCCGCCAGCATAATTCCCAGAGGCCTGAGGGAAGCCATCTGAGAGGTGTGGGCCCCTCTTTGGGCCCCTCTTTGGGCCCCAGGTAACTGATCCCCTCACCAAAGCCCTCCAAGCCAGAGTAGAAGAGGGCAAAGAAGCTTAACTGGACCCTTGTGATTTGAGAGTTTCCATATGGCCCAAGCAATAGCCAGGGGGAAACATCTGACTTCCATGGCAAGCAAAGGACTCTTCCTAAGCCCTCAAACCCATCCTCCTGGATGCCCCCACTGCCCTCATCCTGCCTTCCAGCTGCTGACACCACCCACCACCATCCTGCCTTCCAGCTGCTGCCCAAGGCCCAGCTAGGACCCCAAGTGCAGGAGGCTGCAAGGCCACCTTTCTGAGCCCTCGAATAAGAGGAAAAGAGTCACAAAGCCAGGTTCAGTGCAGGCCACGGTGTGGGTCCTGTAAGACAGTTAAATGAAGAACCATCTAGTGGTAGGAATGGTGCTGGTTACCCGATGTGCAAAGCGTTTTGTGTGCTTTGGCTCATTGTTCCGTACCCACTCTACAAAGTGGGTGCTACAGTGAGACTTTACAGATGAACAAGATTCTCAGAGTCACAGAGAGAATACGGGTGGGGGCCTGGATACAAAATGTATTTTCCTGGATGATCTCCACCCAGCTAGGAAGGCTAGGGACGTTTACATCTGCAAATCCTCAGAAAAACTTGGCTGTGTGGTTGATACTCTCCTCCCTGCTTAAAAAACAAAGAATCTGAGTTCCAGGGAGGCTAAAAGACAGCAGATGCTGGAGGCATAATTCATAGCCCAGCCTTTTGTCTCCCAGAAAAATTCATTTGCCTCTCCCCCAACAGAGGCCCGATTGTTGCCGTTGGGAAAGGAATTATTCAGCCAAGATTTGGCCTTGTTTTAATCTGCAAACTCAGACATCCAGAGACAGCTAGAGATTCACATTTCCATCGCTAATTACTTCTGCAGCTCCTTTGCAAATACCAACCCTCTCCCCTTCCCTGTGCTGCTCTTTGACTGCAGAATCAGAGATTTCAAGAATGTACCGCTGTTGAAAACCCCTTGGAGATGCCTAGACTGAGGCAGTCCTTTGACAGATGAGGAAGCAGAAGCTCCAAAGGGGAAGTGACTTGTCCAAGGTCATGGGTGCACCTTAAGGTAGCCTTAGAGGTCATTGGATCCCAGCTCCTACACTGTCTGTGACTCAGCCCGAGACAAGGTGGCCCATCCATCATCGGATGGCTCCGGTCATTGGAAAGGTGACCTCACATTGAGCCAAAACGAGTTTCCCTTCAGCTCTTGTGTACTTGGGGCTTTCCCTCCACTTTAATCTTTGTGTGATCCCCTAAGGGTTCTGTTCGCCTACCTGAAATTAAGTAGAGGAATTTTACTCCTCGGTCTATTCTGCACAACTAAAGTTTCCATGGGCCGTTTTAATATTTTTATGCAGCCTCTTTCCAAGCACATGAACAGTACAGGTAGTGGGGTCATCTGGATTTGTGGTGTACAAAGTGCAGCATTTCTAAAAATAAGAACTGGAGAGAGTCACCATTTCAATGGTGTGCAGGGGAAAGATACGGCCAGCAGCAGCCTGGATCTCTGACAAGGGGCTCTTCTCGGTGGGCCAGGTCCCTGCAGGCCAGGTGGACCCTCAGTTCACCAGAGCAGGATTTTAACTGAGCACCATACTCTCTAAAGCACCGGAAGCAGGCAGTGTTGTGAGTGTGTGTGTACACGTGTGAGTTAGTGAGGGAGTGGGTGTGTTTGTCGGGGGTTGAACGTGTGAGCGTGGCAGTGTGTGAGTGTGCATGTGAGTGGATGTGTGAGAGCACAGGCATTGATGGTGCAATGACAGATTAAAAATACTGAATCCACCAGGGTCCCAGCAGGAAACAGATGGCGCATTCAAACTGGGTAATCTGAGGTGAGTTTAATAAAGGGACTGTTTCAAAGGTGTGGGCAGGGTGTACAGACCCACAAAGGAGAGTGCAGAGGCTGGAACAGTTGCAGGACACCAGTCGGAAGAGGCAAGGGGAGGAAGCCATCACTGGGACCTGGAGACACACAGTGCTGTGAGCAAAGGGCAGCCTGGTGGGCAGCATGGCCACGACCCCAACAGAAGCCAGAGCTGAGGCAAAGCAGCCCACTGAGGCAGCCCAAGGCAGGGTGAGGAAGGGAGAGCATGGATCCAAGAGACATCTGCAGAGATGTCCAGGACAAGTCCTGACAACTTTCATTTGTGAAGTCACAGCCCTTCATTCACTCGCAGAGGTCTCTAACCCCTTTATGACCCTGGTGAAATGATGGACCATTGCTCAAGAAAAATGCACAGTAGTCACAGACCTGAGTCTCTCTGCAGACAATTTCTTTTTTTTTAAAGATACTTTGTTGTTTCTACAATTGATATATGAATACATTCTCAGAAGGACCAACCCAAGCCATGCTGATATGTACAGTGTAATGACATGGGAATTCCCCATTCAGTCCTCCAGGCCTGCTCCCCTTGGCAGTAAGTTAATAGCTGGACAGTTTAGTGAATTTCCTTCCAGTCTTTTTTCTACATGTTTATATTTATGCAGCATAAAATTCCAGGACTATAAATACCTCTAAAAGCCTATTCCTTCAAAGCCCTTTCACATCTTCATTGGTTTGTTTGTTGGCTTGTTTTAAGAGATGAGGACTTGCTCTGTTGCCCAGGCTAGGGTACACTGGTGTCATCATAGCTCACTGCAGCCTTGAACTCCTGGGCTGAAGTGATCCTCCTGCACCTCCTGAATAGCTGGGACTACAGGTGCTGGCCACCACAGCTGGCTAATTATTTCTGTAGAGACAGGGCTTTACTTACTGTGTTGCCCAGACTGATCTTGGAACTCCAAGCCTCAAGCACCATGGCCTCCCAAAGTGCTGGGATTTCAG